TACTCAGCAGCAGAGTAGCAAAGCACAAGAATTTGACTTGATGGGCTATGAAATGCTTCCAATACTTTAACTCTACCATGTTATGATTCTAAAATGCCAAGTAGGTTACTGTGGCTCTTTAAGATCTCCTGATCTCAGCTAGACTAATGGCAATAGCACAACTTTGCCAGTAGCATTTCAGAAAACTCTTGTAATGCTACAGAAAGTAAGGTGCCTATTTATTTATTTATTATTTACCATATTTATACCCCACCCTTCTCAACCCCAAAGGGAACTCAAGGCAGCTTTACACATAGGCAAATATTCAATGTCTTAAAAACCAAATGCCTAGACATTAAAGCCATAGTTTTGATGCATGGCAACTTATACACCTGCATCTCTGGTTTTGAGAAATCTGATATGCTACTACAATATCTTAAAGTGATCCATAAACTAGCCTGCAAAATATTTGCTTGCATGAAATGACTTCCCTTAAGTAATCATTGTTCAGTTTTATTGTGTCATTCTGATAATTGTTTGTATTTACCCATAGAACTTTAATCAGGAATAATATTATGCTATTTTCTGCAAATAATCTTGCTGAAGTCCTGCACTAAGGATTGCAAATTTTTAAGTAATCAATAGTATAGTACAATACCAGATGTTGATCTGGTATTGTACTTCAGAATTGCTTTGCAACGTTAGCCTCTGTTCATTGTATGTATCTTTGGCCAGTTTAACAGCATTTTACAAACTCAAAATTTCTTAGACCATAAATTCAAATAGATGGGGATTAATCTGTCTGTTTCACTTTATCTGCTGTGCACATTACTTCAGTGAAATGTCTGCTGTGTCCTATTTTCAGATCAATTGTTCTATTGTTCTGCAAAAAAGTTTTTGTACTCAGTTTCCTATAATTTCCACATTCTTGCAAGTATTCCCCCCAGAACCATTGCATATTTGACCTCAGGTTTTTCCGATCACACACTTTTTTGCATTCAGTTTGTGATCAGAAAACTATGCTACCAAATTTGCAGACTGGAAGAAACCTAATAAAATCTGTGTTCTGATTTGTGTTTTAATTTGAGGAGTATGAACACGATCAGTCCATATTAAAAATCAAAACCAAATGGACTTTGCACACTTTTCTAATTTTGCACAAATTTATTTCTCTAAATTTTAGACAGCAACTGCTTTAAGACATGGACTGCCCCCCCCCCCCCCTCTTTCTCTCTTGTGGTTTATGACTTCGGCTTCCATTGATTTCTTAGCACTCTTGTGACTTACCTATTCTAAAAGTCCAGGATACTTCTATTGCATCGTTCCTCTTCTAGATTCTGTGAGGCAAATTGAATATTGTTAACACAATTATAATTAATGTCCCACACACACACACACCCAATGAAGTGTCAGACTTCTTCTGTTTGTACTGCAACTGCAGCAACCTCGGAGGCAGCCCGTAAAGCCTTGAACGCAAAGTAGGTGGAAATGCATAATAGATTGCATAATAGAAATTGCACTATAAAGAATGTACCCTTTTGTCCCCTTCTCAATGCATACTTGAAAATCCTGCTGCTGTATTCAAAGAGTAAGGGTCCTAGCTCTTATCCCTGGTATTTCCAGTTTCTCACCTCTCCAGTTCCTCCAATCTTTCTGAGCTCAACTAGTAAATGCACTCCCTTTCAAGCTATCTCTGTTCTTTAGACCAAACCAATAACAGAGGTTATACATTCATATATTTTATTTATATTCTGATTTTCTCCTGTATGGCACTCAAAGCAGCTCACAATGAAATGTTGTGGTGCAGGTATATTGCAAAAGACATAACCATCACAAATTCTTTTTCTGGAATTATTTATTACGTTTAATGCAAATGATCCAATTTGTAATCAAAATAATGTATAGTATTTTGTGAAAAGACAAGTAATGTATAGTATTTTGTGAAAAGCATAAATATTAAATAAAATAAAGCTACTAAAATAAAAGCAGAGAAAAGAAGATAAATATAACCAGAACTAAAGCACAATACAGAAACATTAAGCAATAATTAACTGAAACACAAGAAGGCTCCAAACTGTAATAAAATATACATATTATTCTACTACTACAGATACAATAACGCAAATAGTTCTACCAAAGTTGTCAGTAATCATTTTTTTGATGTTGATCTGTTTCTGACTGATGGTGATCGTAAGGTAACACTATTGCAGAGTTTTCTTGGCAAGATTTGTTCTGAAGAGGTTTGCCTTTACCTTCTTCTGAGGATGAGAGAATGTGACTTGTGCATGGTCACTAGATGAGATTTGATCCCTATTGCCAGAATCATAGTCCAATGTTCAAACCACCATACCACACTGGCTTCTTACCATAAATTATTGCACTGGTGGACTTCGTAGTTTAACAAGTCCATAAATAGTTTCCAAAAAGTATTCAATTGCTTATCCTTTAAGGCACACATTTGGCAATTTGGACTAACTCAGCCACTTTAAGAATCCATCCTTCCATTGTTGGTGTTTCTGTCCACTTCCAGGTTTTAGCAAACAGTGTTGTTGCTGATGTTATCAAATATCAAATAAGTAATCCATAATTACAGTCCAGTTCTTTGTCCAGCAAGAATATTTCTGGTGACATTACAAAACCTACTTTTAGACCTTTTTTCTGTTAACATGAATAATGTTTCATCTTCTTTCAAGTCCACGGCATATGGAAAAAGGAACCCTCCTTTCCACCAAGAGTTCTCACTTCATGTTTTCATCCATCTGATGACTTGCACATCTGCATGTATCCCTTAGAACAAGGGTGGACAAACTAATTCAGGCTGAAGGCCAATTTCAGTTTCAAATAATTTCTTGAGAGTTGTCTTCCAGAAGTGACTGGGATCAGACTGGGATCAGGGAATACCAGTAGTAATTTAAATGAAACCTTTAGCTAGCGGAAATTAAGATACAGACGTGAGTTCAACCTCTTAGGATATGGGCACAGAGACTCATAGAACTGGGGCATGGAGCTGGAAAATCACCAACTGGTAGAAATGACACAAAAGTTTTGTGTCATTCTGCACAAAACTTCTGTATTATGTATAGCTTGAGGGAAATAACAGTACCACTCAGTTCTGTTTGGTCAAACCTCACCTGAAATACTGCATCCAATACTGGGCAACACAATCCAAGAAGAATATTTACAGACACAAATGTGTTCAGAGAAGGGTGACAATAATGATCAGAAGTCTGGAAACCAAGAACTATTGGGTGTAGCTTAGGGAAATGGGTATGTTTACCCTGAAGAAGGGTATTTGAAAGGATGCCATATTGCACATAGAACAAATTTGTTTTCTGTTGCTCTAGAGACTAGGACATGAAGCACTGGATACAATCTTAAACTTTAGGAAGAACTTCCTGAAAGTAAGGGCTGTTGTAACAAGGGAATATGCTGCTTCAGACTATGGTGAAGTCTCCATTTTGCAAGTTTTTAAACAGACCTTGGTAATCATTTGTCAAAACCGCTTGGCTTATATATTCCTGCATGGCTGAAGGGTGGATTGTGTGACCTTGTGCTGTTTTCTAATTCTATCAAAGTAGCATAGTCTTGTGGGAAGCAGATATTGGTGGACGAATTTTGGAAGAAGGTTGTCCTGCTTGTAAATGTAAGAAACTGTCTTATGCCACTTCAGAAGGGTATTATCTATAATTTGCTTCCTGATTAAAATTGGAGATGTATTTGTGCCTTTTGCCTGCAAGGCTTTGCTTGTCTACTGAACAAACTTTGAGATCCTCATCTCAAAGCTTTTCAGCTTTAAGGGTGCCAGCAACCATTTTCCTAGTCCAGAAAGCTTTTGCCCAAGAGTTTGGTTGATTAAACCTTGACACAATTCAAATTGAGAGTTTACATTCAACCTGAAAAGCACTTCCTGAATTTCAGGAAAGCCCTAATCCAGACAGATACATGCTACTCCCATGTTTAACATACTCCAATATGCCCAGAGGCTTATATAGCTTTTCCCATTCTTGCAATCCTAGAAATGAGGATGAGAAATAATTGGTGAAGAACCGAGGCATCTGGGGTGGGGGACCGCTATCTAAAACAAACTCCTAGTATTCTGACATGTAGGTCAGAATAGTGATGGAAATAATATTTGCCAATGTTTATTATTCTTCTTCTTCACAAGAAACAAAGTGCACTGGATTCCTAAAATATTTTGGTCTGAAATGTGTTTCTAGAATCCATCCTCTCATCTGATTCTCAACATAACAAACTCTTTCAAACACGGTCAGCTGCCAAGTGTTTTTTCTCAACGGAAGACCTTTCTTGCAAAAAGAAAGAAACACTGAAAAGTCTCAAAATGGAGTGAGGGAAAGAAGGAAAACAAAAATCTTCAAAAAGTTTTATGATGTTGCTTACTGGAGAGAGAGAAATTTTATATTCTATGAGAACAATATAAGTGAATATTTAACCAGTCAGACAACTTATTCAGAGTTCCTCAGCATACAAGATTTTGCTCCTTTAAGATCTCCAATTTCCAGTTCTAGACAAAGAAGAACCCAGACAATTTGGCCATGGTATCCGAATGCTTAGATAACTTTTCCTTCCTCCAGAATACAACAGAGAGAATGTTTTTTTTCCCCCAAACATGTCTACTCTCATCTGGCAAAGAGGACTATAGATGGAAGTGGAAATTCTGAGCCCTGCCTTGTGTATTGCTTGCAAGGATGCAAATCTTCATCCAAAGGTCCATACTTACAGTGGAAGTGTGCACCCTACAATTTTCTTTTCATACTGTGGATAGGAATACTTGTCAATCATCAACTGTTTTTATTCCCTCTGAAGAACCTACAAAAGCATAGCTCTTTAAAAAAAGAGGAAAGCGAAGCCAATTTATTGAGGATGCCATATGGACAGGATTTAGTTGCTGATACAGCTCTGGTGCTCTTGGTTTGCTGAGTGGGTGGTGAGGCGTAACCCCTGGTCTGCAGGGAACAGGCAGTCCTTCCTTTCACAGCCTTCGCAAAAGGATGCTCATATTGAGAGCAGGAGGGGCACCCGAGTCTGATGTGTTTTAATTCACTTAAAATGTAAAAGCTCTCAATTATATATAACGGAGGTGCTGCAATTTACCCTCCCAGTTCCTAAGCAACAGCTATTTTCAGATGGAGTGCGTCTGGTGTTGTCTACCTACTCCATGCGTATATGAGGTAATTCATCAGTGAAGGCTGACTCCCCACCATCATCCCACTCTTCTCCCTTGGCTACTTCCGATTGAGGGATCAAGGCTCGCGAACCGAGGAAGAATTGCGACAAGCAAACAAACAAAACACTAACAAAAAAAATCAAACTCCATCATCTCCAAACTTCGTTGCAACCTCTTTGCAAACGTAAAACTTCTGGGATCCTTGGAAGTTGAGCAATGCAAGTTACAGGTTTGGAAGTAACATCTTTGCCATTGGTTTGAGATTCTTCAGAGGAAAAGCTACTGTGAGCAAAACCATGAAACGGAGACCTTTGCTCTTATTGAAGCGTCGATGGGAGTCCATCCCAGTTACCAAACAGGTATTGTGGCTTTGTTTTATAGTCTCTTATCTTTGTGATATAAGCATGGGAGTTTAAGCAAAGAGCAGCAGCTCATCTTACTCATGCAGTTGTGAGAGCTTGTTTGCTACCTATGGTTTCTATTAGTGTGGCTGTTAAGGTTTTGGCTTTAAATATATAGCTAGTATGTCTTTTAGAGCAGTTGAAGCAGGCTATCTATTGTTTCTTGTTGCTGGATAGATTGTGAGGGAGAGGGATAATTTCATCACACAAATCAAAACCTGCATGATAAAAATTTAAAGAGCATGCACTGATGAGAATTGCAGAAAACAAGAAATTTAGATCTGCTTTAGATCTTTGGTGAGGAATCTTAGCATAAGTTACATATTTAAGTGAGGTAACTGGGGGAAGATCTCAATAAATACGTGGCTGAGATCAGAGGTCCATAAAATATACATACCAATAATTGTTGGGCTCTTTTAAACGTTCAGTTGATTCATATACTGCAACCAGTAGTGGTAACAGTAGCAGTAAAGACAAAAAATAGTAATGAATATTTCATAATGCTTGTACTCTATAGAGCAATGTTCTCATGCAGACCCTTGCATACGACACAGGGGGCTGAACACTATACAGACTTTGCTGTGTTTAGTGGCACATAAGGGCGGATTCTTCAGACATTTATGTCATATTGTTGTTGCAAAAATCCATTACTTGGGGTCCTCAGTGCTTTAAAAAGAAAAAAACTGTTCACATCTAAGAATGTTGACTTCCTCTCTCAGTGCCCATGCAGAGATGGTGCCTAAAAGTTTTGTTAGAGCTCCAGAAAGCTCAATTGGTTAACTAAGACCAAAATTATTCTTACATTTGCAATGCAGATTGTTTTGAAAACTAGCAAAGTATAGAGAGCTGACTTTACTATTACAATGCAATAGCTGGCTTTGGCTGCAGATCTTGGGAAGCTGCAACAAGGTGTTGCAGGAAAGAGTTGCATGCCATATAATGGGTATGCTTCCACTAAGGTAGACTCCTTCTTTGGAAGCTTTTAAACAGAGGCTGGATGGCCATCTGTCAGGGGTGATTTGAATGCAATATTCCTGCTTCTTGGCAGGGGGTTGGACTGGATGGCCCATGAAGTCTCTTCCAACTCTTTGATTCTATGATTCTATGTTGTCTCCTGACAATTCTATTCCATTGCCAGTCAGCTGCCAAACTGTCATGGAATGAGAGTGACCAGCTATCTTGTGTTTGTGTGTGTGTATGTTGGGGGGGGGGGGGGTGCTGTCTCAGGCAGCACAATGGCTTGTGCCTGTCCTGAAAATCAAGCAAGTGGGTCAAGCATTTTTTATGTAGCAACTCTAACTTTACAAATGTCCTTTCTAATAGCTCTTCTGTACAAGCTAATTTTGGCAGTGTAATGCTGGATACAGTATGGAGAACCTGGTTTAATATTTATTATCCAGGATCTTAATCTAGCAAATGGATTAATTAAATTGGTCTACTATAATCAGTAATAACATTTGGATGTAGATTACATGGTTGATTTACCTATTTCAGTATGCAGCAAGGCCCCTGTATCTGTGAGGAATACATTCCTGGTCAAGCTGCAGTTACATGAAACAAGGTCATTAAATAACATGACTTCTAGTCCCAGCATATGATAGAGTTGCATGAAAGGACAGGAAGATTCCTAGAGTGGGTAACTTCTAAGGAAAGTATACAATAGAATGGCCTGGAAGACCTAGCAGAATCTTGGAAAGACAATTTTCTCTCTGGGCATGCAGATATGGGTTTTGCTGTTACTGAGGGTCTTATTGTACTGACTGTTCCATGGTGGCAAAATAAGATTAGTACTTATAGCAAGAGGGAGGAGGGATGTAGCCATTCAGATGGGGATAAGATTGCATGGCACATAAGCTGTAGTAAGCAGAACAAGTACTGTTGAATAATGACTTGACATGGAGACACTCATGATAATGTTTTTAAGGCTTTGTATGGTTTTTTATATTCTTATATTGTATGCTAATGTTTTTAACAGTATTTTATGATTGTTTTATTTGTTATAATTGTTGAGGCATCAAATTGTTGCCAATTGTGAATCGCTTCGAGTCACTGCTGGGCTGAAAGGAGTGGTATATAAATGTGGTAATTAAATAAATACTAATTACAGTTCCAGTTCATTGGCTTCTGGAGGATCACACCATCCCCTGATAACTGGAGGAAATCCTGGGTCTAAGCAGAACTTGAAAATCAATAAATAAACCCCAATAAACTGGATTGGGCACCTGCAGATACTTTGGACTTAATTCTCCTCAACTGCAGCATAATAACTGGTGTGGATTATAGGAGTTGCAGTCCAAATATATTGGAAGGCAGCAATTGTCCACCTTGCAATAAACTAATATGGAATAGCTTTCAAGTGCAGAGAAAATATCCTGCAGAGGAAATAAAGGTAAAGGATTTCCCCTGACATTAAGTCCAGTTGTGTCCGACTCTGGGATGTGGTTCTCATCTCCATTTCTAAGCCGAAGAGCCGGCGTTGTCCATAGACACCTCCAAGGTCATGTGGCCAGCATGACTGCATGGAATGCCGTTACCTTCCCGTTGGAGCAGTACCTATTCATCTACTCACATTTGCATGTTTTCGAACTAAGTTGGCAGAAGCTGGGGCTGACAGCGGAAGCTCACGCCGCTCCCCGGATTCGATCCTGTGACCTTTCAGTCAACAACCTTAGCAGCTCAGCACTTTAATCCACTGCGCCACTGGGGGCTCCACAGAGGAAATAATTTGCTGCAAAAGACATTGGGTGAAGTTAGGAATTTCAAATATGATTCCACTGTACTAAAGTGTTCTTTTGCCATCTCTTCTATCCAGTCTTGTATCTCTGAAACAATCTAAAGGACTTTAAGAGGTGGTCTGGTCTAATTCACACTAAATATGTGGAAGGTTATTTCTTGACCTGCTATATGATGTGGAAATAAGTCTTGAAAATTACATACCTGCAGGTTTTGAACAACAGGGAAGTGTTGATTAATAGTGTTGTGAAAAATCATTTTCAATTGGTCAAGGGATCTGAGTTTAATAGCCCATTTTCCTTTTTAAGAAAGATTGCTTCACATATAAGATGAATTGCAATCAAAGTAATAATGGGGTAGGTAGGGTTTCTCTAAAGGTCAAATCTGAATACACCTATTGGTGAGTCAGCAGATTTCACCAATAACATATCAGAATGAGAGATGGGGAAGTATTAAAGGTAATACAGCATTTTTCCCAGTTTGTGAAATTAGTTTGTTGAATTCAATGGATAGCCAATTGTCATTTATATACTGAACTTTTCATCAAAGTTTGGGGAAATGTAAACATTTACTATTTTGCTAATGTGGTTGGCAGTGAAATGTCCTTTATGTATTTGGTAACCTATCTAGTTTGTTGGAATCTCATTGGAAGTTAAGACAAATGTTTTCTGTCAAATGTTGCCTTTTCAAGACACAAAGTTTTACTCATTTTGCAAATAGCAAAATGTGGGGTGGGGAGGGGAGGAACCATGATTTTACCCTGATAGTTTTTTTTATAACTCTCAAAACCAGTGATATACTTGCCCTATTTATTTATTTATCCTATTTATAACCCACCTTTCTCTACCCCAAAGGGGGACTCAAGGCAGCTTATATATGGCAATTATGCAACACCTTAAACACATACAACATTAAGCTTAAAATCCATTGAATTAAAATTAATACATATTACAAATTCAGTATTAAAATCACGCCATCCAAAAACCATAGTCTGAGGCCTTTCTGTAGTCATTGCACATATTCCAATTATATTATATTATTGCACTGCTTCTCTGAACTTATACTTATGTATAAATCTGGAAATCAGGGTAAAACCACAGTTTCTTCTCAAAAAAATCAGACCAAAAACATGGGGCAATGTGAATACTTTACCTAAACTCTTGCCAAGAAAGGAACCATCTAATAGAGAGGTAAAAGGTGAGATCTTCTATTCCGCTTTGGTTAGACCACACCTGAAATATTGTGCCCAATTCTGGGCATCACAATTGAAGAGAGATATTGATAAGCTGGAATGTGTCCAGAGGAGGGCGACTAAAATATCAAGGGTCTGGAGAACAAGCCCTATGAGGAGCAGCTTAAGGAGCTGGGCATGTTTAGCCTGAGGAAGAGAAGGCTGAGAGGAGATATGATAGACATGTATAAATATGTGAGAGGAAGCCACGGGGAGGAGGGAGCAAGCTTGTTTTCTGCTTCCTTGGAGACTAGGATGAGGAACAATGGCTTCAAACTACAAGAAAGGAGATTCCATCTGAACATGAGGAAGAACTTCCTGACTATGAGAGCCATTCAGCAGTGGAACTCTCTGCCCCGGAGTGTGGTGGAGCTTCCTTCCTTCTTTGGAAGCTTTTCAAAAGCTTCCTTCTTTGGAAGCTTTTCAACAGAGGCTGGACATAAAGTCTGGGAAAATATCTTCCACGGAGACAGGGCTTGTACTGTATTCTTTGGAAGCTTTTAAACAGATGGCCATCTGTCAGGGGTGATTTGAATGCAATATTCCTGCTTCTTGGCAGGGAGTTGGACTGGATGGCCCATGAGGTCTCTTCCAACTCTATGATTCTATGATCTTTGTCTATCCCAGGAGAACTGACTCTTTCTACTCCTTGTATTGTGGGACCACCTCTTTGCCTTTTCGAATGCCAGAACTGGTCGGGAAAATGGTGGTAGTAACCAGAGGTGACAGACACTTGACTTACCCATAGGCCATATCAAAAGCCATAATTTTGCCCCTTAAATCTGCCTACAGCTTATACATAAGGTCAACTTGTACGTGAGTATATGGAGTACTATGAGCAGTGCAGTTTAGACTTTTTTAATAACCACTGTTTTTAAAAACGTATTTCTACTGTCTTACCTCCAGAATTCATGGTGAAAGAGAGTATAGTAAACATTCTTGGATCATCTTGATTATATTAAAAGGCTGTAGTGAGACTGCAATGGTCTCCAAA